GTGCAGCTCTGGGAGACCTCTTTGGCTTCACCTTCTGTTGTTTCCCTGTCACCTGCTCACTCACTCTGCCACACTGACCTTGCGTGTACCTGAACACACAAAGCTTGCTCCAACTTCATGACCTGCGCACTTCCTTTTTCCTCTGCCGGGATCTCCCCCAAGATCTCTGCAGCTTTTTCATCATTTAAATCTCACTTCAAGCCTTCTGATTATTTAATCCAAATTGTACCTGTCCATTCACCCAGCCAACACTCTCATCATATCCTTGTTTTATTCTCTTTAAAGCACATTAAATGATATCTAAGAAACGTTTAAATAGGTTTCTGAATGTGTAAAACAAACCAGAAGGTCACTAAAGCCTAATGTTAAGAGTTAAGACAATCAAACTACCAAAGAAGAGGAAAAGCCAACATTGTGACATTGTAAATAGGAGATGAGAAGGTCTAATGTTTTCTGTGTAAAAGTCAAAGTTTAGGCAAGATTAAGCCCTGCATGAGTGACAGGTGCTTTCATCTTAGTCAGAAGTCAGCTCAGAGAAGAAAAAAGGGCTTGTAATAAACAAGATACCTCCAGGAAGATGACATTGAGCTTCTAATTATTCATTTCTCTCTCTCCCAGGGCAACCTCCCATTCCCATATGGTTCTCCAAAGACTGTGACTGGGCCTGATCCATCTTTGTGCCATCCCAGTGCCCAGGCCAGGGTATGACACCCATCAGATTTGTTGAACACAGCCAAGCCTCCTATTTCTGAGACGGCAAAATCACTTTATCAACATAAATACTGATTACTGCCCCAAAATGCAAGCGTGCTGCGCCTAGGGCTCCTCTGAAGGCCCAACCTTTGATTCACAATGTTCTGAGTAAAGCATTATCCCTATGCTGTTGATTCCATGATGTCTTCTGTCTCTGGACCAGTTGGGATCCAAAAGGTCTTAAACACGGGTGATTTCCTCTTTAAACTCTATGCCTGCAATTCCAACCTTTACCACGAGGTGACAGGATTACACAAACCTTATCAAAACTAGTTTAATCTCTGACTACTTCTAATTAAAATACGCCCTAAATTAAAACAATATTCATACATATATGCATATATTTTAAAACTTATATTGGCGTAGTTTTAAAAGGATAATACCCACAGTTGGCCAGCATTTGGGGAAATATGCAGCATTTATTCATTGTTGGTGGGAATGTAAATTAGTACAGTCTCCTGGAGGGCAATTTGGCAATACACATCAAAAGCCTTAAACATGTGCAAACCCTTTGGTGTAGCAATTCCACTTTTAGTTATTTATTCTAAGGAGATAATCATGGAAATAAGCTATATTTATTCCCAGGATGTTGAATGTAAGGGTGAAAAATTGTCAATATAAATAATTTAACTTTGAGACTAGTTAAATAAATGATATATCGGAACAAATACAATGTAGCCATTACATTCTCTAAGGATTTTTAATGATGTGGAAAAGTCTCATGCTGTATTTAGTGAAAAAAATAGTACAAAAAGTCCAATGTAATTGTATTTCAGATTATGAGACTGACGTGCTGCCTACTGTGCTAAGAAGGCACTTGTAATTCTATTTTAAAGGCAATAAATATAAAAGCAAACTTGCATATAAGAAATACTAGAACAATCACCAAGATAAGAGGACTTATCTGTGAGTGGCAGAATTAGAGATGCTTTTTCCTTGTGTTTTTCTCTACTGTCCAAATGTTTTACAATAAACATGCTTTTTGTAGTAATCAAAAGAGGCTGTTAATGAATCCTTCGGAGCAGAGAGGACAGGCCAGCCTCTGTACAAGGAGGGCATGGACAGGGCGAGCCGGTCCCTTGTCGGCTCTGACTTCCTCAAGTCCACAACCTGCCCCACAGATGTGGGTGGCCTCTATGCCCGTGTCTTCCAGCCACTCCCATCAGGTCCACATATGGACCTGGCTTCAGCTGAGGGGACTGGCCTGAGTTAATCCGGAAAAGCACTGACAGTCTCCACCACCGCCCCCGGCCGGACTCTATTCTCGCTCTTACAAAGGGATAAGATACTGGCACAAAGAGAAAGAAAAAGAAGTTCTCCCTGAGGCCGGTCCAGAAGTTTACTAAGCTACGAAAACAAACAAACAAAACCTTTTTCTAAAACTGACCATTCTCTAAGTTGTTTTTCCAAATATTGCAATTTTATACTGAGTAGATTAGAACGCTTTCTGAAACCCATCTTTTCTTCTCTTGAGACTGTCAACGATGAGGAAAGACGGCGGTATTTACGGAAGGGCTGCCACACACAGGACTGGACGTGGCCTCTGTGCCTGACACTCATTTAACCCCAGCTCTGCAGGTGTCATCTCCCCAGGCCCCAGAGGTCAAGTAGCCGGCCCAAGTCCACGCAGGTGACTGACTCAAAGCCACGGTGTCCTCTGCACATGACGGGCCTCGGAGGCGGCCCAGGCCCTTCGGCAGGAGGCAGTCCCCATAGCCTCTGGGATGACCACATGGAGCCATCTGCAAATATACCTCAGGCTGAGAGCTGGGCAGAGCCCTCCTGTCCTCCACAGGCCAAGAGATAGGAATTTCTGCTCAGGACCTGGGCCCCGGGAGCCTGCAAAAGATCCCCCCCTTCCTCGAATGCGGCTGCTTTTCCTCCTGCAGGGGAAGCTGAGCGGGGTGTCTGCCCCACCCTGTGGGTCTCGCAGAAGGAATGGCCCGGGTGGCGGTGCGAGAACAAGGGGCTTGGAGGCGCACAGCTGGGCTTGCTCCTGGTGCTGGCCACATGAATGCCCTGAATCCAGCCCACCCAGGGAAGACGCCTACCTCCGTGTGGAAATGGGGGTCCGTGTGTAAGCTGGGGCTGGGTGACCTCAGGGAGAAGGCCATCATGGGCTGTGATACCAGCTTCCTAGAGACTTTGACAGGGTCCCCTCACCCCTCACCAGGCCCAGCCTGCTCAGGCTTCCCAGTGATTGGGGAGCTGCTGATAGGACCAGGGGCGCGGCTGCCAGAGCTGCCTACACACAGGAAGTGGGGGGGCTTGCTGGACCCCAACTCTCTTCCTTCCAAGAAAACTCCCAGTGTCAAGCCTGAGGGACACCCGCAGGACTCCACACACATCCATCTGTCCGTTCCCAGCCCCGACAGTGACAGCGCTCTTTCTCCAGGCCAGGCCCAGGTGTGAGGGAGCCCGATACCACCTCCACACTCAACTTCATCTTTAATTCCCGACAGTCCTGTCACAGCCCCAGGGACAGCAGCCCCGGGTTTGCCCTGACTCACGTTCTGGATGCTCTAAGCCAAGGGGCTTTCCTTTCCCAAGGCTTCACAGCGAGTAAGCTGCAGAGATGAGAACCATGCCCAGCTACTTAATCCACACCCAGCCTCCCGCCTGTCGGCCGCAGGGCCAGCTGCCCACCCCACCCAGCTGGGTCCCGGGAGGAAGGAGTGAGGGGGAAGAGACCTCTGTGGGACGCAGACCCTGGCAGCTGCTCTGGTGTGGCTGAGAACAAGCCCCCGCCCCTCCCCCCGGTACGCAGGCAGCATCTTCTCCGAGGCTGTGGACCGCTGGGTCACTGTTTGCTCCGAGGAAACAATGGACAAGAGGGGATGGAAACTGCTCGCCCACTCCCTACCCTCTCCCCTCTGGACCTGTGAATACAGAGTAACCGGGGCGAAGGGAACTGGGTTGTGCCAGGAGTGGTTCTGTTAGTCTCCGGTCCTCCCGGGCTGGTGCTGGTACAGCGAATAATGCCAAGACACGGGGCTGAACTTTGCAGCAAAAGCCTGTGCTTCCTCAAGACGCTGGACACCCAAAGGTCCGGGCTGCCGTGCCCAGGAGACGGAAGCCTGACCCCTGCCCAGACAGAAGAGCAGCTGGGGACGGTGGCAGGGCCCTAACCCCAGTGTGTGCCGTGGGATGAGGGTGGTCACGGCTGCTTTTCACATGGCATTCTTACTCCCGCGGAGTCTGAGAGGCCAGGCTGTTTGCTGCTGGGGGAGCTGCCCTGACTGCTTGGGAGATCCCAAACTTGACTCAGCCCAGCACGGGGCCACTCTGGCATGAAGTCAATGTTCCCCAGAGTTACCACCAAGTCCTGGAGGGCTGCGTTTGTGACACATTTTGTGCCTTCATCTCTGCATTCACAGAGCAGAAAATTAAAGCTCAGAGAAGGTGAGCACCTTCTCTAAGGTCATTCAGCCAGGAGGAAGCAGAGTGGACCCCCTATGCCAAGTCTCCCTGGTGCTGGGTCTGGACTCCTCTCCTCCACTGCAGGACCAGGGACCACCCCTCTTCATTGCCAGCCGTCCCGACTGCACAGATCTGGCCCCTGAATCAGCCAGCATTTCCCTCCTTGCGTCTTCCTGCCCCGGAGGCACAGAATGAATCTGCCCCTCCCTTGCTGGCCCTGCCAATCTCTTCTGCTGGGCTCCCCCTGCTCTTTCCGATGTCCCAGGACCTCCGGATGCTGCCGCCACGACCCTCAACCCCCGCGCAGGACCTGGCGGTGGCACAGCCACACTGTGCCTTGCTGCTGATATGGCACTCACTTGGCCTGGGCTGGGACATCTATTCCAAGAATGCGCTAACTTTTGGGTTCATTTTAAGAGATCTGCCAAAGGATGACACCACAAGGCCAAACTGGAACCAGCCAGTCTCCTGTTATCGAGTGACGACGAGGAGCGGTGGCTGGGACAGGTCCTCCACCCACTGGGAAGAGGCCCAGCCTGTCCAGTGGAGCAGGCCACAGTGCGGGGGCTGGACTTACTGAAGAAGCAGTGCTAGGTGGACTCAGTGCCACCCAGACACCTGAGCGAGGTGCTCTGCTTTGCCTCCAGGGCAGCCCCGGAGATCTGTGCAGCCCTGGAGCTCACGCTAACACCCTCCACAGAAAGGCCACTACTGCTGAGGAGCAGAGGAGGAGACAGCAGCGCAGACAGAGTTAAATCAAGGCTCAGGGAAAGAATATTGGTTTAAGAGAAAAGGGCGAAGAGAGCAAAAAATAAATGACAAATTACCGGGTAGCCATCGCGTCCTGATTGCCCCTGTGGTAATTAATATGTCATTAATAATCAGACTTTCGGCAGAAACCATATGGCAGCACTTAGAGCTCAATCAGGGCCCAGTCCCACACCACCCCCCGACAGCTGGCTGGTGACCTGCTCTGAGGGGAGGACTCAAGGGCTCCAGCAGTCTTGGGGGCAGAGCAGCCCTTTCCTGCCTCGGAGGGCCAGGCGGGTGGGACCAGGAGCCTCGGGGCTTCATCAGGGTCCCCAGGCATAGTCACATGAATGTCCTCCCCATGCTGGCCGGGCATAGGGTAAATGTCACGTGGGGACGTGGGGTTCTGGAGGGTGGAGCCACAGCCACATGACCCAACCAGGAACTGCAAATGCTCCTTAAACTGGGCCTGCGAGAGGCCTGGAAGTCAGCCTGCTTCCTCTCAGCTGCCACTGGGATGGGGTGAACCAGGAAAGCGAGCCTTAGAAGCCAGGACTATGGGGGGTGTTCACCGTGGCTGGAGGCTTCTCTGCCCCCTAGTTCTGGTCCCTGGAGCAGTGACCACCCTGCCTGGGTGCCAAAGTGTGGCACCATCTCCCCAGTCAGACCCTTGCAGGTTTTGCAGCTCGAGAATTTCTGCATTTGTTTAATCCATTTAATATTTTCACTGCCAAGTTAAAAGAAAAACAAAAAACAAAAAACAAACAAAAAAAAACCACTCCATAGCCCCCGGCGTTAGGTACTTCCGCAAGTTCACGCACGCCAGCCTCCCTGAGACAGCCAGGAGGGGCTCTGCTGCCAAACATCGCTTGAGGCCAATAAACCAACACAATCCTGTTGGCTTGCTTGGCTCACGGTGGGGCTACATGCACCGAGAAGCCCAGATTCCGAAGGGCACCGACCAGGAAACGAATCACGGTATGTGGAAGTAAAAAATAAAATGGTTCATCTGAAAGGAATTCCTTGAGAAGGTTGGTTTTGGCTCTGGCTGACTGTCAGTGTGCTTCTTGAATGGATTAGTTGGGATTTATCGGGCTCTGAAAAACTGACAGCGTGAATCAAAGGCAGGCGCATCCTTTGCCCTGGAGAATGAATGGGATTTCTAGGGCCACGTGCAATCCCTGCATTCAAAGCTGCCTCTGGCCGGCCAGAAGTTCAAGGGAGCCGCCCAGTGCTTCCCTCATACCCTTCACACCCCTCACAAATGCAGTGACATTTCCCTCCTGCTCCCATGCAACGCCCTCACCAGCCAGCTGTGCTCGTGAGGTCTCAGCTGTCTGATCCACATTCTGGCAAAGAAGAAAAATGAACCCCAGGGTCTAGTGGTCAAGCCCGACTCATTCCTGGGACAACTGCCCGACTCTACAGCCCTTTCTGCCAAAGCATGGGGCACTGAAGCATTTAGAAACATCAACTGCCACAGAGCATTTTAAAACTATGGGCATGGCGCTAGCATCTCTGTGTACCAAGGGGAGCCCAAGATTTGGCAAGGAACAGCCAGGCTTGTGCGCTGGCTCTCTTGCTAGGAAAATGGTCACAGAACGTTTCGGTGAGCAGGTCAGGCCTGTGGAATTCTGTGCCTGCATTCATCTACAAATTAAAAAACAACATGACTCCTCTATAGGACTGTTTTTTTCCCCCCAAACACACGATTTTTTTGTTTTTGTTTCCGAGACAGAGTCTCGCTCTGTCTGTTGCCCAGGCTGGAGTGCAGTGGTACCATCTCGACTCACTGCAACCTCTGCCTCCTGGGTTCAAGCAATTTTCATGCCTCGATTTCCCGAGTAGCTGGGATTACAGGCATCCGCCACCACGCCGGGCTAATTTTTGTATTTTTAGGAGAGACGAGGTCTTACTATGTTGGCCAGGCTGGTCTCGAACTCCTGACCTCAAGTGATCTGTCCACTTTGGCCTCCCAAAGTGCTGGTATTACAGGCGTGCGCTACTATGCCTGGCCACTTTTTAATAGGACTGATTTTTTTTTGAGGACACACCTCCCTAACCAAAATTATGTTCATGGAATTGCAACAGAGAGAAAACTGAACATCTTATCTTTCAGAAGTAGACAGCACAGTCCAGGACACTTACTGGAGGACCTGCAAAACACAAGCAGAGAAGCCACAGTCAGCGTGGAAGGCAGAGTCCCCTCGCCCGTCCTCAGCGCGGCTCCTGGCCACCCCTCCCTGGAAGGCTTTGATGCTGCCATGGCTGTTTCCTGCTTGGCCTGGAGCTGGGGGCAGAGCAGAAGGAGCACCTTTGCTCTTGGAGAGCCCGGGGTGGTCCCGGGCTTGGTGGTGACAATTCCCACAGGCATGGGTGCAGGCACTCATGTCACCAGGCAGCTTCGGGTTCTCGCGCTGAGCAGGAATCGGAACTTGTTCCTACTTAAAGAACAAGCTCTGGTTCTCCTGAGGGGATGGTTTGTTTCTACTGAGGGGAGACAGGGGGAGCAAACGTTTTGGACAGAGAGAATACTGGGAGGAACAGCAGATGGGTGTGGCTGAACAGGCTTTTTGGGGGAGGGGTTCCTGCTGCCCAGCCCCAGGGTTAGAAATGCATGAGGAGTAGCAGGGGCTGGGGCTGTGGCTGAGACTTGGCTACCAGATGAGGGCTCACAGAGAACCCTGATGAGGCCCACGGGGGCTTCACCTCACAGCTTGCAAGGCATGTAGCATACCCATTATTGCATTTGACCTTCCCAACCATCTTTCGTGAGAGGTCTGATGAACATCTCCACTGGACAGCGGATAACGCAGAGGCTCACAGAGCCGCGACTTGTGTGGGGCCACATCGTTGATTAGGGGTGGAGTCAGCGCATGCTGGATGGAAGGAGGTCTCCCAACTCTACCAGCCCTAGGCGCTGTGTACTGAGCCACGCCGCTGGCAAACCAGACCCCAAACCTCACTCGAGGTTACACGGGGAGGCAGCACCCGGCAGTCAGTGACCAGCATGATTTATACGTCCCAACTATGAGCTAGGAGCCATGGGGGTAACTAACGGGACCAGTAGTGAGTGCAAGAGGCAAGAGCCCTGACTCATGAATGTTGATGAAGCAGACAGATCCCGAAGAGGACATCTACACAGGGAGAAGGCCAGGAAGCTCCAAGCACAGCACAAGGGCCCTGACCCAGGCTGGGCCGAGTCCAGAGGGTGAGAAAAGAGGAGGGAGGAGTGTTGCAGAGATGGAGAAGCTCAGAACATGCCAAGATCATGGGCTTTTGAGGAGCCAGGAGAAGTGAAGGCTGCTGCAGCGAGGGAGGGCCAGAGAAGGCAGGGCCGGCCAAGCCTGGGGGTTTGTTTCCATGGCATGGTCTGAGGGGCTTGGTTCTAAGGGTGAAGGGGAGTCAGTGAAGGGTTCTGCATGGAGGAGTGATGGGGAGGGACAAAAGTGCACCTGGAGATGCGCCGAGGTGTCCCTGTGCAGGTGCTGGTGGGTGAAGGGGGGAACGGAGACTCAGGAGATGTTGGTCAGAGGAGAGTGGGGCTCGCACGGTAGCGGTACAGAGAGGAAGGAGAGAGATGACAAGGATTTTTGGCTTGAAACACTGATGTACTCATACCCAAGAATGATGACATGGGGGACAGTGGTTTCCCCAAGTCTAGATCAGAGGCAGAGCAGAGCAAGATGCTGGCAACCTGGACATCCCATTGAGCTGACTCCTCAAAATGACCTTGATTCCTATTTTCCAAAGCAAACAAAAGCTGCCGGATAGGTTCACCATCGTCTTTCCAACACCGGTTGTACACATCTGTGCCTGTACCTGCACCTCAGCCTGCGCCTGCATCTGTACCTCCCCTGTGCCTGCACCTGCATCTGCAACTATGCCTATACCTGTACCTGCCTTTTCACCTGCCCCTCCCCCTCGATCTGTTCCTGCACCTGCACCCACAACTGCTCCTGCACCTGCCCTCCTCTCCAGGCCTTCAGGTTAACTCAGAGGAACTGACCCACCTTCAATTAGGCCACTGTCCCCTCTGTATTGCCCAGAGCCTGGCGCCATCCACAGTCCCTCTGGATCTCAGTCACACTTGCCCTCTCACACAAGTCCTGCCCAACAGCTCTGAAACACGCTCTAATTCCTCAGATGGCAAAGCCACCCCTTGGTCGCACACCCCCTTCTATTTCTGCCCTTCCTCCGCTCTCTCCCTCACAGCAAGAAACAGTGGGAGGCGGCTTCAGAGAGGCAATGAGGTGGGGCAATTGGGTAGGGCCTTGAGCAGAGAGAGGATGTGACCTGGCTCACATTTTAAAGATCCCCCGGTGTGGGGTGGCAGGGGTAGAACGCAGAGGCTACCGCATGGTGCAGAGGAGAGAGGACGGTGGCCCACAGCTGGTGGTGGCAGTGGAAGTGCTGGACGTGGTTGGGTTCTGGATTGATTCTGACAGCACAGCCAAAGGATTTCCCTAGTTTTGGCTTGAGCAACTGAAAAGATGGGGCTGCCATCAATGGAGGTGGGGAGACAGTGGTGGGACAGGCCCGGCTGAGGGGGTCAGAAGCTTGGCACACGTGGCACCGCTGGACATAGAGAGAAGATCAGGAAGTCCTGGAAGCGAAGTAGAGAAAGTGTCCCAGGAGGGAGCGATCGCTGTGCACGGGGCAAAGGAACCGCCCTGCAGATGGGCCGGGTAAGAAGACCAGGAACTGGACGCAGCAATGCAGAGGCATGTTTAGGGAGTGACAGGAGTGGGGTCTGATGGGAGAGGGTTTCAGAGAGAAGGAGGGTGAGGGATGCGGACAGTGGGTGCTTTTGAGGAGCTCTGCAGCAAAGGGGAGGAAATGAACAGTGGCTTTGTGGGGCTGGGGCCTGGCGATGGGTATGTCTTTAGGATGAGTGACATGGCCACACGTTTGTAGGATGTGAGTGGTCCAGCAGAGAGAGAGGATTCGGCGTGGGGGGAGAAGGGGAGATTCCTGGAGCAACGTTCTTGAGGAGGTGAGAAGGGCTGGCTCCTGGCGCTGGCACAGATGGGGGCCTGGACAGTCCATCTGTGGAGATGGCAGGAGGAAGAGTGCCTGGTGCTGCCAGGCACGTGCCATGGAGGTGGGAGTTCAGGCAAGTTCTCTTCTGATCGTGCCAACTCTCCCAGTGAAGCAGGAAGCAAGGCCGTCAGCCTCAGGTGATGACGGTGCAGGAGGCGTTGGGGGACTGAGCAGGAGAGGTTGAATGGGTTGGACAACGTGGCCTCAGCCAGGCGGCAGAAAGAGCCACGGGGGGCGGGGGCGTTCCTCTCCAGCTGGGTAATCGGTACACACTGGAGTGGAGCATGTGGAGGGGGCTGGGTTCAGTCCGGGGTGGGGCTTTTGCTGAGTGGGACTGAGGGAGGAGCAGGGAGGTCTGGCATGGGGCAGCTGGCAGGATTCCAGCTGGAGGGGTGAGGGGCCAGGGGCTGGGATCCATGGATCCGAAGGCTGGAGACGGAAGGGTTGTAGGGGTCAGGGAGAGGGAGTGGGCTGGAATTTGTGAACTGAGAATTTGTGGATGCTGCATGTATATCGGGAGAGACCTCGGGAGGGAGAGGTTGTGGTCAGAGGAGGCCAAGCCTACCAGGGGAGAGGAGGCCACGGAGTCCAGACGCCAGGCTGTGTAAGGGGCTTCTATGTGGCTATCAAGATTCATAAGAATTCACCCAGAAGCACTGTGGGAGAGAGGGCTGGTGACCCGGGGGCTGGCACCGACTAGCAATGAGATGGGTGCACCTGGGACCAGAGATGGCTTCAAGAATGACGCCCCATCACCGCCCCCGTCTCCCATTCTGGGGCCAGGGTCACATTTCTCAAAACGCAGATCTGATCCTGACACTTCCCTCCTCACCGTCTTGTTCCTAAGACAAAGGCCCGAACCCCGTGGTGCCTTCCACGTGGTGATCTGCCTCCCCAAATCGCTCGCTGCCTAGCTCCCTCCCCAGGGCCTCCACACCTGGACCTCTGGGAACAGCAGGGGGAGATGTGTTATAACCACTAGCTGCCACGAGAAAATGAAATTGGATCCCTGCCTCAGCATCGACCAGGATGAATTCCAAAAGGATCAACGATTTTACAGGTTAAGAAAACTATAAAAATCCTAGAAGAAAACGTGGGAATATTCCTTTCTAGCGTTGGAGAGGGCAGGCTTTTCCACCTATGGTTCGTAATCCAGAAGCCACAAAAGACAGGCCTGATCCAACCATATAAACCCAAAAGATGTCCACAAGGCAGAAAGTCTTGGAAGCAAAGTCGAAGGCCAAGCTAGGCCAGGCGCGGTGACTCGCGCCTATAATCCCAGCACTTTGGGAGGCCGAGGCAGGCAGATCACTTGAGGTCAGGAGTTCAAGATCAGGCTGGACAACATGGTGAAACCCTGTCTTTATTAAAAATACAAAAAAACCCAAACCAAACAAAACAAAAAAACAAAAAACCAATTAGCCGGCTGTGCTGGCGTGTGCTTGTGATCCCAGTTACTCGGGAGGCTGAGGCAGGGCAATTGCTTGAACCTGGGAGGCAGAGGTTGCAGTGAGCTGAGATCACATCACTGCACCCTGGCCTCAGTGACAGCGTGAGACTCTGGCTCAAAAACAAAGCCAACCTAGGAGACATATATCTAACTCAGGTCACAAAGGCTAGATACCTTGACATAAAAACATTCCTACAAGACATCTCTCAAAACACCAGCAACTCAGTAGAAACAATATACCCAAAGATATGAATGAAGAAGTCACAGAACAGAAAATACAAATAGCCTTGAAATATCTGGATTATGAACGAGGATTAACTTTTGTAGCTACAAGTGCTAATCTTCATAGTAAAAGAAGCGAAGGTTAGAATTATGATCATATCAGATTAAAGAAATGAAAAAAGTCTCATGACCTACTGTGTGAAGGGCAATGAGGACAGTCACCTTACACACTGGTGAGAGGATAAACTGGAGCTTTCTCTCTAGGGAGTGATCTGGCAATACTTAGTAAGATTTAAACTGTATGTGCCGATTGCCACAGCAATTATCCTCCTAGAAATGTATTCTGCAGCTGTGTCATCACATATGTAAAAGGAGAGGGGTATAAAAGCAGTCCTCATCACAGAAGTGTCGAGATAGTAGAAGTATTAGAAATGGCACAGA